GTGTGCATGGCACACTTTATTTAGCGAGTAGCACAAAGCTGATAAGCACACACCACTTAAATAGCCCAGGTTAATGAAAGGTTTTTGGAGAAAAATTATGCTATTGTAAATTTTGAAAAAAAAAAAACAGCTAATATTTTAATTGGGTATTTACCCTAGGAAGTTTATATTCTATTTTGTCCTATTTTCTGTTTCTCTTCTATTTTCTGACATCCATTAAAAGAAGTTAAATAAAATTGTCTTTTTACTATAAAAGAGGGAGGTGACATTTATCTCATTACAAAGGAAACTGGAGAATTCAGTATCTGGAGTAGTTGTAATTTTTACCATAATAGATTTCCAAACCTTTCTTATAAAACATGAATGATAACCTCCTTTAAATGTTGCATAATGGCATACTGTAACTAATAACATGCTCTTTTTATAATAGATAGCAATCTAGAATCTAGCAGCAACACAGAACCAAAAACTGCCTAATACATAAATATACTATCTATAATTAGTGAAACATTGCAGAATTATCTGAATAACATAAAATATTTCATACTTGATTTTAATCACATGGAATATTCCATACTTAAATTTTTAATAAATTTTCCTAATGTTTAAAATGAACTCAAATTTTTAACAATATCCTTTGTGTAAATATATTGAAAAATGCTTTGAGGGTGGTAAGAATTAAGTTTTTTTAATGTACTTGTGGATGTTCATAAAAATTATCACTTTGTTCATCTCATGAATAGGGGTAAATATTTCTACAAATCAACCCTAGGTGAACATATAGATTCATTTGGTATGCTCACTTCTTAAACTGAAGAGAAAAACTTTATTTGGAAAATAAATATAATTGAAGTATATACTTCTGGGAAGAAATTGAGTTAATTTTTGGTGTCTTCATTTTTTTAGCACCTACCTTGCTCCATTATTGACAATTCCCAGGTAGGTCAGGTGGTAAAAAATCCACCTGCAATGCAGGAGGCCCCAGTTCGATTCCTGGGTCAGGAAGTTCCCCTGGAGAAGGGATAGGCTACCTACTCCAGTATTCTTGGGCTTCTCTGGTGGCTCAGACCATAAAGACTCGCCTGCAATGCAAGAGGATTGGATTCAATCTCTGGATTGGGAAGATCCCCTAGAGGAGGGCATGGCAGCCCACTCCAGTATTCTTGCCTAGAGAATCCCCTTGGACAGAGGAGCCTGGCTGGCTACTGTCTGTGGGGAAGCAGAGTCAGACATGACTAAGCACAGCACACAGAACAAAATATATTTGCAGAAAAATCCTTTGTCGAGATTATTTTTCCTAAGGAGAGTTAGGAAACACTGTGTTTTTAAATAGGTACTTATGATTCCTAAGAAGTATTAGAACCAATTTTACAATGCATATATATGTCATGTTAAGTCACTTCAGTTGTGTCTGACTCTTTGTGACCTTATGGACCTTAGCCCTCCAGGCTTCTTTGTACTTGGCATTCTCCAGGTAAGAATACTGGAATGGGTTGCCATGCCCACCTCCAAAGGATCTTTCCAACCCAGGGATTGAACCCACATCTCTTGTGTCTCCTGTATTGGCAGGCAGAGTCTTTACTATGCAGTCTTTACTGCTGCGCTGCCTGGGAAGCCCATAAGCCATAAAGAAAGTGAAAGTGAAGTCGCTCAGTCCTTTCTGACTTTTTGCGACCCCGTGGACGGTAGCCCACCAGGCTCCTCCGTCCATAGCATTCTCCAGGCAAGAATACTGGAGTGGGTTGCCATTTCCTTCTCCAATATCTACATTTAAACTTAATTAAATCATTGTGATATCCTGCTACAGCCACAGGCTTTGGAGCTCAACACATGTGAGAGCTTCCCAGGTGGAGCTAATGGTAAAGAATCCGCCTCCCAATACCAGGAGACACAGGAGACTTGGGTTTGATCCTAGGGGTTGAGAAAATCCTTTGGGGTAGGAAATGGCAACCCACTCCAGTATCCCCCGGAGAAGGGATAGGCTGCCCACTCCAGTATTCTTGGTCTTCCCTTGTGGCTCAGCTGGTAAAGAGTCTGCCTGCAATGCAGGAGTCCAGGGTTCAATCCCTGAGTTGGGAAGATCCCCTGGAGAAGGGAAAGGCTACCCACTCCAGTATTCTGGCCTGAAGAATTCCATGGACTTTATAGTCCATGGGGTCGCAAAGAGTCGGACAGGACTGAGTGACTGTCACTCTCCAGTATTCTTGCCTGTAAAGTCTCATGGACAGAGGAACCTGGCAGGCTGCTTGCAGTCCATAGGTTCGCAAACTGTCCGAACGATGAAGTGACTTAGCACACACACACCATCAGTGGATATAAGCTTTAAAAATAACTGGAGAAAAACATTTAGAAAGTTAAGTTTACCGCTGTTAAAAAATAATAAAACACAAAGGAAATGCATGTGGTTTTCTAAATTACATATTGTTTTAGAATTATTCCTAATCTAGCATGTTGTGAAATATTTTTTGTTTATATTTATAAAATATAAATTTTGGTTAACTAATACTTTTACAAAGAGTTAACTATGTCATCTTTGCATCTAAATAGTGCACATATAAACTAGAGATTTGTGTATGTGTATATACATACTTATGTGACAAAAAGTGTTTCAGGAACAAGATTTTCTTCGTGGAACTATCTAATGACATTGTAATTAAGGTTTATCCTTACTCTAAAAGGTAATCTCTTTATATGTTGAAATAATTTGTAAAATTCATGTAGTTTCTGATAATTCTCATATAAGGCCTTTATGAGGATTGTTATTTACTTTCTACAGTATTACTTGACAGTAAACTCAGAACATTGATGAGTACAGAGTATTTCAAAGATTTTCCTGAATAGCCTGCTAGTGCATGAAATTAAGCAGTACTTAAAATTTCTTCTTTAGTTTATTCACCAGGCAGGAAAAAGGACCTTCTCCTTCATCTTACCATCTTTGGCAAATACTGCCAGTCCTTCCTTTGACCAGTTACTTTTTTTTAACTCAAGATCCAATTAGCAAAAAGTGACAGGAGAAGCTGAAACAGGATGTTAGGCATTCTTTTTTATTTTCCTGATTTTCTTCCATGTCTCCAAATTATCTATACTCATGCAGGCATCTGGAGAGTTTATACTGCAATTTGATATGCAAAAAGTTCTATAGATAGAAGATAACTAAAAATATTTTTCAAAAGAAATCAGGGGTATATTTTGGGAATCACAAGTTGTTTCTTAAAAGCCACAGTTACATTTAGCAATAAATTATGTTTTTAACTATTTTGTAGCTGTCATTTCCAAGTCAATGCCATGTGCAGATATATCTGTTTTATGCAAAAAAGAAAAAAAAGAAAAATTTTTTAAAACCACTGTTCTTCCATTGCAACTAGTACATTAAGTTTTAGAAGTAGGATGACTTGAACCTTCCTAAACTCAAAGAAAATGTAATAATTTTCCACACCCCAAATCCACCCCTGGGAGAAATTAGATCATATTTGCATAATTAGGTGCAATTATTTGATTCATTGTTTTGGTGAATGAGATTTTTCTACAGTGGAAAGATTCTAATTTCAAAAATTATTTTTCTCATTTTCTAAAATAGGCATTTTGAGAGTATTTTATAGCAAAATACAAGTGACAGTTTATACAAAGTAGTAAAATACTATCTTTAGAAATGCACACTAGTGTTACATAAAAACTAATGTTGCTTTTGGTGCCTCTCAACACAATTTTGAAATCTCAAAGCAAATGCCAACAGGCCTCTTGATTAACAGTGTTTTGCCAAAGGTACTTCATCAGGGGAATGTATATCTTAAATATCTTACTTAAATAGTAGTTTAATACTCCTGTATCAGTAGATGATCTTATTAAATTATTTGTGAACCCCTCACTTGAACTTTTAATTTTGTCTTTTTATCATCCTTCTCATCATTCTTATAACTTCTGAAATAAATGCCGGTGTGCCACTTTTTTGCCTTTTACTGTTTAAACACTATTTAAATCCTATTTTCTTGTTTCTTTATAGATTCAGATTTCAGAGGAATATTGGGAACTCTTCCTTCCCAAAAAAAGAAAGACTAAAAGATTTACTTCTTTTGTAGTTATGTTTTTATCTCAAACTTAACTATGGGAACAATAATAAATTTTGTTAATGCCATTTTATATCTCTGGAATTTTTTTCTATTTGTTTCTAAAACCCTGAAGTTGTTTTTTAAACAGAAGTCACTGTTAATAGCTTTGTGGGAAGACTATGAAAAACAGTTCTTTTAAGTTTCATCATTTAGCAAATCTAAAGCTTCAAACCACAGCTCAATAAAATAATGTGACTATTATTGATCACTATATAACCATCTGATTTTGAATTACTTTACTTTAGTTTACATTATGAATTAAGCATTCAGGCATTTAGTTTTGCTCCCAATTTAGAATGAGATTTTTAAGCTGTTTGGGTTTTTTTGGTTGTTTTGTTTTTAAGTCTTTGTGGCTATTCTTTGTGTTAGTCTGTGGTTTTCCCCCTTTCTTTCTACCTTTAGTAGAGAGGATACAAATCTAATAATGTAAATCCTTATGCCTGAAAACAGCCCTTTATCAAAATCAATTATTTTGAAATTCCATAAATCAATAAATTCACATTCTATAGATGTTTTCACTTCTTATGTTTAAAGTCTCTGTTAATATCTGGTGCCTTTTTTTTACAATAAGTATTTTGCCTTGTATTCATTTCTAATATTTTTCATTACTTTCAGGTATGTTTTCAGGAACCATATTTTTATTATTAGATTATTATCAAAGTGAGCTCCATATAGAACAGAATTAGATATTCTTAGAAACTTGAGAAAATGTTTGCTTCTTCTTTAAAGAAACTGAATAGCTCTCTAGTATACCATAGTTGGGAATACATGTTTCATGACAACCATAGTTGACCTAAGTCTGTGTTTTTTAAGCAAGTATACTTATGTGTAATATATTTTTATATGTAGTACAAATATTCTTACAAGTCAATTTTTTTTTTAATATATTTTCAGTGAAAGAGTTTCTAGCCAAAGCCAAAGAAGACTTTTTAAAAAAATGGGAAAATCCTGCTCCGGTAAGGAACATTTAAAATTTTCTGTGATTTAAAATCTCGCTTTAAGTAAAATCATGATATTTGCCTAAATAACTTACTACTTTGGAAAGCTTAATTTCCAAGTAGCATCAATAATTATAAGCTGAATGTAAGAATTTTGTCATAACATTAGGTTTTGACTCATTACTAATTTTATGTATACCTAAATTGGAAAAGGAACTAATTCCAATATAATACCTGATGGTACATTTTGATACTAGTTCCAGGTTCCTACAAACTGTTTATAGTTTCTGATAGTAATTTTGATTTATGTCTTTGATAGAATATTTATTATCTTTATTAATTATGGCAGTAGGGATCATATTGTATAGTTTCAAATTCTTAATCACAAATACTTGGCTATTGACAACATACCAAGTACACAAGGAGTCTTTCATAAATGTTTTGATGGGTTAAGTTCTATATAATTTAAGTACTTTAGATCTTAATTAACATCTAGAAACTGTTTATAAGAAGAACCATCTATACTTGCCAATAGCTTATTTTGAATTTATTTTTATAAATAATTAATGACCTTTAGTAGCATTTTAAAAGCTTTTTTCCTAGCATAAATATCCTTATCAAATATTTTTTCACTAAAATATATTTAATTCTAAATAAAATGTTATGTTTTAAGAAGATGCTATCATTACCAAGATGTAGAGCATGAGTCATAATTTAAAACACAGTCACTCTGATGATTAAAAGCAGTTAGACACTGTCTAATTTGAAACTTTAAGGGAGGTGAGGAAGATGTCATATTTGTATGAAAAGCAGTGACTGGCAGAAAGAGACATTCTGTTGTCTATTAATAATGTTTATTTTCATTATTAATTTGAGAATATTATTAAACATTTCAATCCATTGTTGATAAAACCAAAAATTAAATATTAATCCATAAAATCAATTAATTCAAACAGAATTATAAGGACTTTTTCTTTCTATATTGATACAGAATCTCATGGCAATTTAAAATTATGAAAAAAGGAATGAAGACAAGTTTTATAAATAAAAACTTAGAGGCACTTGCTTTCTCCTTAATGATTTACTAAGAAGCTCTGAGCAAAGGCAAGGTTTGATTTGCTAAAGATTAAGTCCAACTACAGTGAATTCCAGTAGCAATTCAAATTCCTTACTTATAAAAGAACCATATTGCATCATAAGTTTTTTAAGCTTAATGCTATACAGACTGGTCCTTGGAATTATTTTTTCCAAGGTTTTCATGAAGATGTTTATAATGAAAACCTATTAAACAAATGGGTCAGCAATTGCTATTTTATGCTATTAAGCATGTAATTTGTTCCCTGTAATCTTCAGTCTGTTGTGGCAGCAACAAATTCAGTAGATTGATGCCTCCAATTTTTGCTTCTTTGCTATAGTTAAAGCCAAACAAAGACATTTTGCTTGTAACAAAGCATCTATTCAAGGAGAAAAAAAGACTCATTATTGTTCTGGGATTCCAACTTTTGGTTATCTTTGTGGGAGTGAGGAATTCTCTTTACCTTATTGTTACTTTTTAAGGTAATACAGGGTTATTATCACATCAGAGAGAGAAAATTATTTGGATCTCTCATACTGTTATTATCTAGTTTATATAAGGATAGAAATGAAGTAAGACTGCTTTCTTCAGAGGTAACTGGTGAAATGACTGATCCTCAGGTTATCTATTCATTACAATTTTTTTGCAAATTCCCAAGTGTGGCTTCCATGATTGCATACTTCTGGTCACTTTGTAATTATTAAAATATAGATCTAATTTATTATAAGTCCAGTACTATAAATTCATATTGGAATGTGACCTTTGATATTTCAACTGAGGATCTTATTTCCTCACATTACTATTACTCTTTGTTTACGATATAAGTCTCTCTTCAAATGTAAGATCCTTTCTTATTCAAAGGGAAAAACAGAATCAATAAACTGGAATTTCTATAGTCTTTTTGTATTGTTTTTAAATGAGTAGTTATAAATTACCTATTCTGATAATACATTATTAAGTCTATTATATTATTATATTAAGTTATCATATTATTCTTATGAATATTACTAATTATAAAGTTTATTTTTTCCTGTATATTTAGAATAATGCTGGGCTGGAAGATTTTGAAAGGAAAAAAACACTTGGAACAGGTTCATTTGGAAGAGTTATGTTGGTGAAACACAAAGCCACTGAACAGTATTATGCCATGAAGATCTTAGATAAGCAGAAGGTTAGTGTTTTCATTAGTCTGGTTTGCTTTTGGAATTTTTTAAAAATTTTTTAAATTTTAAATTGAAATACAGTGTTGTTACAATGTTGTGTTAACTTCAGGTATACAGCATAGTGATTCAGTTTTATATGTTATATATATATTTTTTTCTTTTTTAGATTCTTTTCCATTACAGGTTATTAGAAGATATTGAAGTTTCTTATACTATACAGGTTCTTGTTGGTAATCTCTTTTATATATATTAGTGTGTATTTTTTAATACCAAACTCCCAGTTTATCACCCAGCTTTCCGCTTTGGTAACCGTAAGTTTGTTTTCTATTTGCTTTCTGTCTGTGAGCCTATTTCTGTTTTGTAAATAAATTCATTTGTATTATGTTTTTAGATTTCACAAGTAAGTGATATAATGTGATATTTGTCTTCCTCTATCTTGCCTACTTCACTTAGTATGATAATATCTAGGCAGAACACTCTTTAACATAAATTACATTAATATTTTTTGGCTCCATCTCTTGGAGTATTGGAAATAAAAACAAAAATAAACAATTGGGACTTATTTAAGGCTTTTGTACAGCAAAGGAAACCATAAACAAAATAAAAAGACAACCTACAGAGTGGTAGAAAATATTTGCAAATGATGTTTGACTGCCAAAAGATTAATTTCCAAAATATACAAACAGTTTATACAGCTCAGTATATATATATATATATATATATATATATATATATATATATATATATATATATAAAATCCCATCAAAAATTGGTGAAAATGCTTTTATTTCCAGTATTCTGGGAGGTGGGTCATAGAGGATCCTGCTATGATTCATGTCGGAGAGTGTTTTGACTGTGTTCTCCTCTAGGAGTTTTATAGTTTCTGGTCTTACATTTAGATCTTTAATCCATTTTTAGTTTATTTGTGTGTATGGTGTTAGAAAGTGTTCTAGTTTCATTCTTTTACAAGTGGTTGACCAGTTTTCCCAGCACCACTTGTTAAAGAGGTTGTCTTTTTTCCATTGTATATCCTTGCCTCCTTTGTCGAAGATGAGGTGTCCATAGGTTCATGGATTTATCTCTGGGCTTTCTATTCTGTTCCATTGATCTATATTTCTGTCTTTGTGCCAGTACCATACTGTCTTGATGACTGTGGCTTTGTAGTAGAGTCTGAAGTCAGGCAGGTTGATTCCTCCAGTTCCATTTTTCTTTCTCAAGCATAAACAAATGGGACCTAATGAAACTTAAAAGCTTTTGCACAACAAAGGAAACTATAAGTAAGGTGAAAAGACAGCCCTCAGATTGGGAGAAAATAATAGCAAATGAAGCAACAGACAAAGGATTAATCTCAAAAATATACAAGCAACTCCTCCAGCTCAACTCCAGGAAAATAAATGACCCAATCAAAAAATGGGCCAAAGAACTAAACAGACATTTCTCTAAAGAACACATACAGATGGCTAACAAACACATGAAAAGATGTTCAACATCACTCATTATCAGAGAAATGCACATCAAAACCACAATGAGGTACCATTACATGCCAGTCAGGATGGCTGCTATCCAAAAGTCTACAAGCAATAAATGCTGGAGAGGGTGTGGAGAAAAGGGAACCCTCTTACACTGTTGGTGGGAATGCAAACTAGTACAGCCGCTATGGAGAACAGTGTGGAGATTTCTTAAAAAAAAACTGGAAATAGAACTGCCATATGACCCAGCACTTCTGGGCATACACACTGAGGAAACCAGATCTGAAAGAGACACGTGCACCCCAGTGTTCATCGCAGCACTGTTTATAATAGCCAGGACATGGAAGCAACCTAGATGCCCAACAGCAGACGAATGGATGAGGAAGCTGTGGTACATATACAACATGGAATATTACTCAGCCGTTAAAAAGAATTCATTTGAATGAGTTCTAATGAGATGGATGAAACTGGAGCCCATTATACAGAGTGAAGTAAGCCAGAAAGATAAAGACCATTACAGCATACTAACACATATATATGAAATTTAGAAAGATGGTAATGATAACCCTATATGCAAAACAGAAAAAGAGACACAGATGTACAGAACAGACTTCTGGACTCTGTGGGAGAAGGCGAGGGTGGGATGTTTCGAGAGAACAGCATGTATATTATCTATAGTGAAACAGATCACCAGCCTAGGTTGGATGCATGAGACAAGTGCTCGGGCCTGGTGCACTGGGAAGACCCAGAGGAATCGGGTGGAGAGGGAGGTGGGAGGGGGGATCGGGATGGGGAATACATGTAACTCCATGGCTGATTCATGTCAATGTATGACAAAACCCACTGCAATGTTGTGAAGTAATTAGCCTCCAACTAATAAAAATAAATGAAAAAAATAAATAAAATAAAAACCACACAAAAAATATGGTTGGAAATGTAAATAGATATTTCTCAAAAGAAGACATAGAGAGGGCCAATAGGCATGTGAAAGGATACTCAGTATTTATAATTATGTATTAGAGAAATGCAAATAAAAACCACAATGAGGTATCACCTCACACTGGTCAGAATGACCATAATCGAAAGTCTACAAATAATAAATGCTAGAGAAGATGTGGAGAAAAAGAATCCTGCTACATTGTTGATGCAGCCATTATGTGTAGAACAGTATTAAGGTTCTTGAAAAAGCTAAAAATGGAGATTCCATATGATCCTGCAATCCTACTTCTGGGTATATATCTAGAGGAAACCATAATTTGAAAAGGCAGATGCACCCCAGTGTTCTTTGCAGCACTATTTGCCAAGAAATGGAAGCAACCTAAATGTCCATCAGCAGATGAATAGATAAAGATGTGGTGTATATGTACATGATGGGATATTTACTCAGCCATAAAAGTAATGAAATAATGCCATTTGTAGCATCTAAGTCTAGGATGGACCTAGAGATTATCATACTAGTGAAAAAAGTCAAAGAAAGAAAGAAATATTACATGATATTGTTTATATATGGAATCTAAAGCAATCATATTAGTGTATTCATTGTTACTTACCTGAAGGGTAAATTTCAGTTTTATCAGCTGGATTATTAAACACATACAATAGAATGACTTACATTGACACCAGGCTTCAATAGTACATGAACCGTGAACTTCCAGATATTCAAACTGGATTTAGAAAAGGCAGAGGAACCAGAGACCAAATTGCCAACATCCATTGAAAAAGCAAGAGAGTTCCAGAAAAATATCTACTTCTGCTTTAATGACTAAAGCCAAAGCCTTTGACTGTGTGGATCACAACAAACTGTGGAAAATTCTGAAAGAGATGGGTATACCAGACCACTTTCCATGCCTCCTGAGAAATCTGTATGCAGGTCAAGAAGCAACAGTTAGAACTGGACATGGAACAACAGGCTGCTTCCAAATCAGGAAAGGAGTATCTCAAAGCTGTATATTGTCACCCTGCTTATTTAACTTATATGCTGAGTACATCATGAGAAACGCTGGGCTGGATAAAGCAACAAGCTGGAATCATGATTGCAAGGAAAAATATCAATAACCTCAGATATGCAGATGACACCACCCTTATGGCAGAAAGTGAAGAAGAACTAGAGAGCCTCTTGATGAAAGTGAAAGAGGAAAGTGGAAAAGTTGGCTTAAAACTCAATATCCAGAAAACTAAGATTATGGCATCTGGTCTCATCACTTCATGGCAAATAGATGGGGAAACAGTAGAAACAGTGACAGGCTTTATTTTTTGGGCTCCAAAATCACTGCAGATGGTGACTGCAGCCAAGAAATTAAAAGACACTTGCTCCTTGGAAGAAAAGCTATGACCAACCTAGACAGCATATTAAAAAGCGGAGACATTACTTTGCTGACAAAGGTCCGTCTAGTCAAAGCTATGGTTTTTCCAGTAGTCATGTACGGATGTGAGAGTTGTACTATAAAGAAAGCTGAGCACTGAGGAATTGATGCTTTTGAACTGTAGTTTTGGAGAAGACTCTTGGGAGTCCCTTGGACTGTAAGGAGATTCACCTAGTTCATCCTAAAGGAAATCAGTCCTGAATATTCATTGGAAGGACTGATGATGAAGCTGAAACTCTGATACTCTGGCTAGCTGATGCAAAGAACTGACTCATTTGAAAGGACCCTGATGCTGGGAAGGATTGAAGGCAGGAGGAGAAGGGGTCGACAGAAGATGAGATGGTTGGATGGCATCACCAACTCAATGGACATGAGTTTGAGTAAGCTCCGGGAGTTGGACAGGGAGGCCTGGTGTGCTGCAGTCCATGGGGTCACAAAGAGTCGGACACGACTGAGTGACTGAACTGAACTGACACCTTCAGATGATTTTATTGTCACATTTAATTTGCATTCCTATTTACTGTGACTATGTGACACACAAAGATAGTAGTTTTAGTGTATGGGGATTGTATCGCTGATCCTGTTCACAGTGTTCACTGAACTCAGGGGTAGGCAAGGTTTGAGCTAAGAGGGTGGGAGAAGACACGAGGAGCTGTAAGAATTGCAGACACATTTATTCTCTCCTGGCTCACAGAGCAGCCATAACACAGCCTCTCCTCTGGCTGACGCAGTAGTCATAGCACAAGCCACAACATAACCATAATGTAGCCATAACGTAGCCAGAACATAATCTCACATAACACAATCATGATGCTGCCCCGGTGTAGCCCCAAAGCAGCAGCAGCCAGGGCTTTCATGTGAAGCTCATACAGGCATACCGCACAAAATTGCTGGTGACCAAGCATGCGTGAGCTGTGCTATAAGTGATCTCAGCTGTTACTTAATGGTGCAAAGTCATTGTTTACAAATCACAGGGGGAGAGGGCTAGAGAGCATGGGGTGAGAGAGCCTGACTGGTGCCATCTTGTTAATTTCCCCACAGGGATACATTATTATTTCAATAATAATTTATACACAATAGGTTTGTATATATTTTCTAACAAAATACTGAATTCTATATGTAAAGAACAAACATCTCTATTACATTTTGTCTTGTGGAGAAATTCAAGGACCAATT